AGGGTTTTCTTAGTTTGTTTCTTAATATTGATGAATTTCATCAGTGAGTGGCTTTTAAAAAAGAGGGCTTGCCTGAAGATGCAAAAACCGATTCTGCCCTGAGGAAGAACACCAGGTGAGTTCAGTAGGGTGGTGAGTTCGAATCCTGAACTATGTGCATCCTCACAAAGACATCCTGTGTGGCCTTGGGCAAATTGCACCAGTCCAGATGTCCCCATAAGAAGTAAAATGTAAATCACCCCTGAGTATTCACTGTCTAGAAAAGCCTGAGAATAATTGCCATAAATCTTTTCAAAGGAAGTATATAAGACAAAAGAACATCCTCCTTCTCCTATTCTTAGTAGCAGTTCTTTGTGAGTAAAATCAAATTATTTCTAATAAGAAACTGTTAGTGTGATGTGCCACCAAGATCCTGAAGCCGAGGCTCCAATCCTTTGGCCATCTCATGAGAAGAGAAGATTCCATGGAAAAGACCCTGATGTTGGGAAAGTGTGAGGGCAAGAGTAGAAGGGGACGACAGAGGACGAGATGGCTGGACAGTGTCATCAAAGCTACCAACATGAATTTGACACAACTCCGGGAGGCAGCGGAAGACAGGAGGGCCTGGTGTGCTCTGGTCCATGGGGTCACAAAGAGTCGGACACGACTTAACGATTAAACAACAATAATATAGAGACATTTATGGGCCCTGACATGTTTTTTCTTCCATCTTCATGTTTAATTAAAAAGAAGAAGACTACCCCACCTGTATTTTTGCCACATTAATCAGAATGTATGCTTAAAATAAAGAAGGGAACCTCTTAATGTTGATTGGTTGACTGATGTGATGGCATTTTTATGCTCCCATTCTCAAGACAATCCTTTTTTTCCTCAGTTGCTCTCGGAAGTGGGATTGGCTTAAATTCTCCTTGTTTTTACATACAGCTTGGGATAAGAGAGCAACATGGGTCTTTGAGTAAGGAATTTAATGGGTGTTTATCCTTTTCTGAGTTTATTGCACAATTTTGCCTGCTGTGATTCTCTCAAAGCCTTTGAAAATGGGTGGGATTTCAAGACAGCGCCATCTTTGGGACCATGATCTGGGCTTATCCTTTTCTGAATTTCTGTACAATTTGTTGGCTATGATTTGCTCTAACTGTCGTGTCTCTTTGTGCATTTGTGCATGTCCCTCATCAGCAACAGGAAGCATCTGGAACAATCTTTCCCAGAAAATCACACTCACATACCATCAATTATTTTTCCTCTTTCTCACTTACGCATCTCTGTTTTGTGGTCCTTTGCTTCCCCCCTCTGGTGACTCCTTGTGACCATTAAAGCTGAGGATGTTTTCTGAGTGAGTCCTGGAGGAATACTGCTTACTGTGTCTCCTGCACAGTAATACACAACCATGTCCTCCTCTACTAGGCTGTTCATTTGCAGAGAGAAGCTGGAGCTGTCCTTAGAGGCTGTGAATCGCCCTTGGATTGCCAGTGAATAAATTATTGTCCTAGGGTTAATAATGTAAACCAGCCATTACAAGCCTTTGCCAGGTCTCTGCCGGACCCAGTGCATCCGATAACAGTGACGTCAAAGCCAGTAGCTCTACAATGTAGCTTGTGAGACTGCCCAAAATTTATCACAGGTTCTGACTGAGGACCACTTATGTGAAGGCACCTGGTAAGAGAATAAGAAAGATGTGGAGTTAGAAAGCCCAGGGTTATATCAAAGGATATGTAAGCCTTTTAAACCCACGAATGACTATTGACGGTAAGTAAATGAAACATTTGTCATGCTTTCTCCAAATAATGTCTCAAAGTGAGTTATTGAGACTGTAAGTGATAGTTGAGCCAGGGAAAGTTAGTCTGTATGGGGGAAATTGAAGCTAATGCTGCTTCCTGACCTCCTGCACTTCTGAGGAATTCTAGCAGTTCTTCCCAGAGCTACTCCTGATAATTCAGCCCCATAAGGATTCAGCATCCAAACCCAGATCAGTGCAGGATTAAAAGAGAGAGAGAGAGAGACAGAGAGAGAGACAGAGACGCCTTAAGGTCTATTGTTTGCGATCGCCCGCAGGGACAGTGAATAATTCTGAGTGGAAGAAAGGGTGAGGAGGAAAGGAAAGAAAAAAGGAAGAGAGGACAAGCTAACTGGTATGGCATTGGGCAGATTCTCTGCATTTCCTAGTACAACCACTCTACTTCCAGAGGAGAATAAGTCCAGCCACACTGAACCTGTTCTTAAATTTAAGGCATGGGCCCTCTTGACGGTGAAGGACCAGGAGGAAATGCACAAAACCTTTCAAGGGAAAAGCACCAGCAGGGAATGGCTTCCTCTTTTTGTACAGCTCCTCTTTCCCTTTGTCTCACTGTGCTCTTCAAGCACAGTAATACACGGCTGTGTCGGCAGCTGTCAGGGACCTCAGCTCAAGATAATACTCGTTCTTGGAGAAATCAGCAGAGAGGGTGGCTCGGCTTTGGAGAGACGGTGCGTAGATTGTACCCCATGTGATGCCAATCCAGACAATCTGTCCCACCCATTCCAGTCCCTTTCTTGGAGCTTGGCGGACCCAATGCCAGTATTTGCTCTTCACAGAAGCCCCAGATATTGTGCAGGTGAGTCTGAGCGATCGCCCAGGCATCAGTGTTCCTGGTCCAGATTCCACGAGCCGAACACTGGCGTGGACACCTAAGGGGGATGCCAAAGGACTGATTAATGAAATATTGACTTCAGCCATGGTTCATCTTTTGCGTTGATCTGTCGGATACTCACACATGGGAGCTGAGAATAAGGCGAGCAAAAGGACAAGAAAGGAAAGGTTCATTGTGGAGTTAAGAGCAATGTCTTCCTGCAGAACAGTGGTAGATTTGGGTCTACAATGAATCTTTAAACTGTGTTTACAGGGAAGCCTGATTTGCATAGGGTTTCCATCTCATGAGTGGCTGGGATTAAAAGGGGGGCTTGCCCGAAGATGCCAAAGATGTTTCTTCCATGAAGAAAGCTAATCTCCACCCATTTCAACACAACAAAGCATCACCTATGACAGGGATCTTGATAGAGACAGTTCATGCCTCTGACACATTCTTTCCTCATGTTTAATTCAAAAGACTGTCCAACTGGTATTCTTTCCACATTAAACAGAAGGTATGCTTAAAATAAAGATGGGAATCTCTTGACTTTGATTGATTGATTGATTGACTGATTTGATTGGATTTCCTTGCTGTCTTTCTCAAGACACTGTGTGTACTCTCAGTACGAATTCTGAGAAGAAGCCTTTCCAGAAGTTTTCAGAGACTGGTCATGTGTTTTCCTTCTAGATCTTTCTTGTCCTTTGCATTTGAAAGCAGAAACATCCCCACCAAAGAACGCTGAAGGGAAAATGTGTTCAAACTAAGGATTCTTTTTCCATTCACATGCTCTCTGAGCATGGATTGGCTTAAGTTTCTCCTTAGATTTACACACAACGTAGGCAAAAGGGAGCAACACGGGCTTTTGATGAAGGATTTCAGTTTTTTCTTCCAGTTCCTCAAGTTATTCTTTACTTTCCACCGATGGGACAATGTTAGGTGAGGAGAACAGCTCAGGATATAAGCATCCTCACCAATGAAACCAGATAACCTGGCATTCTCCTGATTTGACTGAGTCCCAATGACTTTCAGTATCCCACTGCTGTCCCTTTGCACAGCCAGGCAAGGTAAGCCTGTTCAGAAGATTTATCACACACAATTTACAGGCTAACAATTGAGTGAGTAAGAATGAGGGACCCCTGGCAGATGTGCTGCACTTTGGAAGCCACACCCAGCAGAGCATGTGTCCTCCTAGAACCACCAACGCTGGGCATCCATGTCAGTCCTGATGGTGGGTATGGATCCACTTCGTGGGTCTAATTGAGGGCTCTTAGCAATGGAGGCACCATCTCCTCTCCAAGGCGAACTGAAGGTCCAGCAAATGACAAGAAAAATGACATGAAAAATGCTTTTTCCAGCTGCATTGTCCTCAAGACATGAACAGAGGTGAGAAGGTCACCCATCAAGCCAAATTGGGTAAGGCTAGATGGTGTACCTCCATCCCATAGCAGTCCAGTCCCTTCCACCTCTTCCAGAGGTGCTGTGGTGCTCAGGAGGCACGCTATGTGTATGGGCTCATGGCTCTACAGCCACAGTGTCCACAGGACGTGGGCAGAGATGAAGGGGTGACCTGGCAGGCAGCTACCAACATGGTGCTGTGGACAGAGTGGGCTGGGTTAGGCTAGATGGTCTCCCTGCTTTTCTAACGTGAGATCCTCTTGCTGCTTCTGCTTTTGTGGCTGCTGGATGGGTGGCTCTCAACTGATATGGTGCACTCCTTTTTATGGTTTATAAATGGGGTATGCTCAGGCAAATGTGCGGCTAGTGCTGGCTTAACTTTTTTGGCCAACTGAGCCTTCCTCCTGCCATGGAGGACCCTTGTATGAATGCCTGATCCCTTCCACCTCCTCCCTGGGTGGCCTACTTGTTCCATCTACCCACCACATGGCTGGTCCTTTTCTTTCTTGCTTTCTGGAGGGTTGCCAGGCTTTCCTTCCTTCCTCTGGAAGCATCTCACACCCCCTGTGGTGGCATTGGCAATGGGTTTTTCCTTTTAAACTTCATAGGATGGGTGGGTTTTCAATGGGATCCTGTCTTTGGCATCCTGATCTGTGTTTTACCCTTTCTTTTCTTGTGCATCTCTGTCTATGGTGTTCCTTCAAACTGTGGTGTCTGTGTTTGTGTGTCTGTCATCTGTTGTTTCTGCTGAAACAGGAAGCATCTGGAATAACCTTTCCCAAGGCTGAGAAGGGAGCCATGAAACCACAGTCATAGACCATCAAGTATTTTCTTCTGGCCTCCTAATCGATTTTTCTTTTGTGGTCCTTTGGTTCCCCCTCTGGTGACTCCGCATGACCATGAATGATGCAAAAGGTTTTTGTGCGAGTTATGGGGGAAACTTTCTCACTGTGTCCCTTGCACAGTAATAGACGGCCGTGTCTTCGTCTTTCAGGTTGTTCATTTGCAGGTAGAAGCTGGAGCTGTCCTTGGAGGCTGTGAATCGCCCTTGGATTGCTGATGAATAATAATTGCTGCTAGGGTTAAGATAGTGAGCTAGCCATTCCAAGCCTTGGCCAGGTTTCTGCCGGACCCATTCCATCCAGTAGCCGTTGACGTCAAACCCAGTAGCTCTACAACTTAGCTTGTGAGACTGTCCAGGATTCTTCACTGCAGGTTCTGACTGGGTGAGGACCACCTGTGTGAAGGCACCTGGGAAGCAGAGAGGGAGAAGGGTGATATAGAAAAAAGCCAAAGCCCATGGTCATCGTATAGACACCCAATTAAGCCTTTTTAACCCCCGAATCAAGATTTGAAGGCCAACGCACATGAGGAGAAGGCAGCCAAGGTGACAAGGATCAGCAAGAAGGGCAACATAATTATTGGGGAGGTAGTCTCTAGATTAGAAGCTCTGTGCTGTGCCAGAAGTTGTGTGTGCGGTGACACAGCTTGTGGGTTTAAGTCAGAAAAAAAAAGCATCCTAGATTTGCATAAAGCATTTGACCATGGAGCGATTCACTTGTTTTTGTTTGAAGCCTGCATTCCAAAGCAAATTGGGCTGGTTTAGACCAGTGGTTCCCAACCTTAAATAACCCAGCTGTTGTTGGACTGCAAGCCCCAGAAACCCTGGCTAGCATAACTGGTGGTGAAGGCTTTTGGGAATTGCAGTCCAAGAACACTTGGGTTATCTATGGTCGGGAACCACTGGTTTAGACCAATCTGTACATGACCCAATTCAAAAAAGGAATGGCCGGATTCAAGTCCACTCTAATGCAAGGTGAATTTCCATATTTCAGAGGACAGAGTGCTGTCCTCTGAAGATGCCAGCCACAGAGACTGACGAAACGTTAGGAAGAACAACTTTCAGAACACGGCCAAAGAGCCCGAAAAACCCACAACAACCAATTTCCATATTTGTTTGACTCCCAAGCACAAATCAAACCCACTGGAGCACAAAGAACTTTGGAGGTCTATTTAAGTGCAAGTTTTAACATTGTGCCTGGAACACCATTTCTGGAAGCTGCTTGTCTGAAATTTAAGAACGTTCCTCCTCTCTTTAGGTTTTGTTAGGCTCAAATCCTTGGATATTTTCCATGGTTACTGCTCATCCGCCAAACCCCTGGGAGTTGGGGCCGACAGGACTTGAAACTGTACACTGTATATTTCATGTAGGTAATAATGTAGATCTGAGAGGAGGAAGAATAAGAGATAACTATGAATATATATCTGTCTGTGCATCCAAGCTTACTACTGAGTATTAACCAAGGTGACTTAGAGTGTTAGAACAGAGAATATTAATAGCTTGAAAACCAGATATTATTATGATATTAAACTACCACCACTGGAAAGATGGCAGGACTTACAACTATACACTGTATATTTCATGTAGCTGATAATGTAGATCTGAGCAGAGGAAGAATAAGAGAGTATGTATGTATGTATGTATGTATGTATGTATGTATGTATGTATGTATGTATGTATGTATGTATGTATGTATGTATGTATGTATGTATGTATGTATGTATGTATGTATGTATGTATGTATGTGTACCCTAACTTCCTGCCTAAGAGAAATCTTTGTGATCGTTTCTATCATCTATCAGCCTCTACCATTCCCTCTATATTATGTTCAATTAAAGAGATACAGATTATCCTGCCCTTATACTTCCCATATTAATCCTAGTTTTACAAAATGGAGTTAAAATAGAGAAGAGAATCTGTTGACTTTTCTTTCTTTCTTTTCTAGCATATTATTCACGTTGTCGTCGTCATCATCATCATCTGAACAATGATATCATCTGTCTGAAGAGGTGGAGTTGTCGACAAGAGGTCCCATTAAAATATAGTAGTTAGACTTTGGGGATGCCATGACTTTTTTGTCTTCTTTATTTTTGTATATTTTTTTCCTGACATCATCATCATCACTTGGGGAGGGCTTTCTCTTGGCCATGGGATTCAAGGCTGCTGGTGTTCTCTTCAGACTCCACCAGCTGGGCATCTCAGAAAAAGCTTGCGCCAAACGATAATTTTCAGAGGTTACTTGTTCTGTATTTTTCTCAGAAGAGTGGTTCCCAACCTTGGCCACCCAGGTGCATTTTGCATAAACTCAATAAAGTGAGTCGGAGTCAATTAAAAAATAAGGAAGTAGTAGCAATAGGGAAGACTTCCTTCAAAGAGGCAGCCATGATGGCTTCCTATTCATGAGGATGAAGGGGTCACCTTCCTCCTTCTCCTCTTCCTTTGGGCCTCTTGGGGTAAGGAGGAAGAGGAGGAGAAGAAGATGACGTTCCCCCTGCTGAGGAACAAATAGCACCAGGAACAGATAAGAGTCAGACTCAGACTGGGGACTCAGACAGGAAGACCTGACAACATCCCTGGGATTTATTGTTTGTGTATGCAGCTACCCCAAGCTGTTCTCCTCTTCTGTCTATGGGACTGTCTTGGGTAGGGGAGCTTTGTTTCGGTTTTCATGGTTAGGTTAGGGTGCCGGATCCCCAGGGTAAGGTACTTTTTCAGGAGGAAAAGCTGGAGGACAACCATCCACAGTGCTTAAGTCACATGTTTCGACGTCCTATCCAATTTTTCTCAAGCCCAGTGACATCCTGTCATTCTTGTTACTGAAAAGTGTCAGTTCTTTGTGTTTCTTTAGATTGTATAACTGTGATGTTTATTATTTTCAATTGGCTGTTTCTTCACTTTTCTTTAATATGGAAACTGCCCAGAGTGGTCTTGGCAGCCAGATGGGACGTATAGAAGTCAAATATGAATGAATGAATGAATGAATGAATGAATGAATGAATGAATGAATGAATGAACGAACGAACGAACGAACGAACGAACGAACGAACAAACGAACGAACGAACGAATGAATATATAAATAAAATTCTGTATCAATCTGCTGCCTTCTTGTATGATAAAGGAGAATGCCTGGCCTGGCTTTTAGAAGATCTGCCTCTATTCAGTTTTTGCGAACAAGCGGATGGATGCATCTCACTCTAACAAGTCTTATTTGAAATGTGGGTTAGAAAACAAGTGGGGGCAAAGAAAAAAGGGGAATTGACTGAGTCTGGGGGATTAGTGCTGGAAACTTGAACCCCTTGGAAAATGCTGGAAGGAGCAATAGAGGAGCTTGGCCATTCGTGTCACCTGTCATAAAAGCTGCTACGGCCAATAAAACTGGGCTGGAGCCCATGGAATTATCACCTAGGGATTGCCCAGGACAGCCAGACCTTGACTCATGCTTACTCGTGTTCTAATCCAGTGGATGCTGCCAGAGAGTAGAGAGTCCCACTGGTCATCTGAAAGGGTGCTTTGAGTGTGACCAAAGTGGCACGGCAGTTATAGCTGTTGTTCCCACAGACTCTCCTGATCGTCCCCGTCGTGATGCTGCAGCAGAAGTCATGGCAGCGTGAGGAGGAAAAGGCTACTAAAGGAAGAGGCCTTGAGGGCCGCTGTTGTAGTCGCCATTGCCAAGAGAGAGAAGGAAAAAGAGCCATAGTTTAACAGGAACCAAAGTCTCTGCCTTTTATCTCACCACCATTGCCGATGGGAGAACACTATGACCGACAGGAACACTCCATAACATTGCAAGGAATGTTGATCCCACACTTAAGCGTCATGCACAAAACCTTTCAAGGAAAAAGCAGGAGTATGTAGGCGCTTCCTCTTTTTGTACAGCTCCTCTTTTGCTTTGTCTCACTGTGATTCTCGGGCACAGTAATACACGGCTGTGTCGGCAGCTGTTACGGACCTCAGCTCGAGATAATACTCGTTCTTGGAGGAATCGGCAGAGAGGGTGGCTCGGCTTTGGAGAGATGGCAGGTAGAATATATGCCACGTGTTGCTACTCCAGACGATCCGTCCCACCCATTCCAGTCCCTTTCCTGAAGCCTGGCGGACCCAATGCCAGTAGTTGCTCTTCACAGAATCCCCAGATATTGTGCAGGTGAGTCTGAGTGATTGCCCAGGCTTGAGCGTTCCTGGTCTGGATTCCACAAGCTGAACGCTGGCGTGGACACCTAAGGTGGAGGACAAAGCACTGATTAATGAAATATTGACTTCAGCCATGGTTCATCCATCGCATTGATCTGCAGGATACTCACACATTGGAGCTGAGAATAAGGCAAGCAAAAGGAGAAGAAAGGAGAGCTTCATTGTGGAATTTAAGAGAAATGTCGTTCTGCGGAACAGTGGTAGATTTGGGTCTACAATGAATTTTTAAACTGTGTTTATACAGAAGCCTGATTTGCATTGGGTTTCCATCTCATCAGTGGCTGGCATTAAAAAGGGGAATTGATTGAAAATGCCAGTAGAGGATCCTAATAGAGACGTTTATGGCCTCTGGCATGTTCTTTGTCCAATTGTCATGTTTAATTAAAGCAATAAAGACTACCCAACTTGTATTCTTGCCATGATAATCAGAATGTATGCTTAAAATAAAGAAGGGAATCTCTTGATGTTGATTGATTGATGAGATGGCGTTTTTATGCTCCCTTTCTCAAGACAATCCTTTTTTTCCTCAGTTGCTCTCGGAAGTGGGATTGGCTTAAATTCTCCTTGTATTTGCATACAGCTCAGGATAAGAGAGGAACAGGAGTTTTTGAGTAAGGAATTTGATGGGTGTTTACCCTTTTCTGAGTTTATTGCAATTTTTTTCCTGCTGTGATTCCCTCAAAGCCTTTGAAAATGGGTGGGTTTTCAAGGCAGCGCCATCTTTGGGGCCATGATCTGGGCTTACCCTTTTCTGAATTTCTGTACAATTCGTTGGCTATGATTTGCTCTAACTGTGGTGTCTGTTTGTGCATTTGTGTATGTCCGTCATCTGTTGTATGACCTGAAATAGGAAGCATCTGGAACAATCTTTCCCAGAAAATCACACCCACATGCCATCAATTATTTTTCCTCTTTCACACTTATAGATCTCTGTTTTGTGGTCCTTTGGTTCCCCCTTCTGTTGACTCCTCATGACAAATAATGCTGAGGAAGTTTTCTGAGTGAATCCTGGAGGAATATTGCTTACTGTATCTCATGCACACTAATACACAGCCATGTCCTCCTCTACTAGGCTGTTCATTTGCAGAGAGAAGCTGGAGCTGTCCTTAGAGGCTGTGAATCGCCCTTGGATTGTAAGTGAATAAAATTACTCTCCTAGGGTTAAGAAAGTAAATTGGCCTTTCCAAGCCTTTGCCAGGTTTCTGCTGGACCCAGTGTATCTGGTAACTGTTGATGTCAAACCCAGTGACTCTACAACATAGCTTGTGAGACTGCCCAAAATTTTTCACCGCACATTCTGACTGAGTAAGGACCAGTTCTGTGAAGGCACCTGGTAAGAGAAGAAGAAAAATGTGGAGTTAGAAAATGAAAGCCTAGAGTTATATCAAAGCATACGTAAGCCTTTTAAACCCATGAATGAAGATGTGAAGGCCAAAACACATGAGGAGAAGGCAGTCAAGGTAATGAGAATCAACAAGAAGGATGGCATTAGGGTTGGGGGAGTTGCATCAAACAAACTCCTCATTCTATGCCTGAAGGTCTGTGTGCTTTGAAACAGCTTGTGGGTTTCAGTCAGCAGCAAATGCCCACTAAATTTTCATAAGGAAGTCATTCTAAGAAGGGTAAGTATTAATGGAAGACATAAAATTATACACAAAGCATTTCATAATCAAGTGGTTCCCTCGCTTTAATTGAAGCCTGAATAATAAACCAAAGAGGGCTGATTTGGCATTAAAAAGGGGGCTTGCCTCAAGATGCCAATAGAGGATCCTAATAGAGACAATTATGGCCCCTGACATGTTCTTTGTCCAATTGTAATGTTTAATTAACACTACATGGCACAGTAGGGGACGTGGTGGCGCTGCGGGCTAAACCGCAGAAGCCTGTGCTGCAGGGTCAGAAGACCAAGCAGTCGTAAGATCGAATCCACGCGACGGAGTGAGCTCCCGTCGCTTGTCCCAGCTCCTGCCAACCTAGCGGTTCGAAAGCATGGAAATGCGAGTAGATAAATAGGGACCACCTCGGTGGGAAGGTAACGGCGTTCCATGTCTAAGTCGCACTGGCCATGTGACCACGGAAGATTGTCTTTGGACAAAAACGCTGGCTCTATGGCTTGGAAACGGGGATGAGCACCGCCCCCTAGAGTCGAACACGACTGGACAAAAAATTGTCAAGGGGAACCTTTACCTTTACCTTTTACATGGCATAGTACAAAGAAGAACAGTCAAATTGATTTCTACCCCACAACACAGTGGATGCATTGATTAGTTGGGATCCCAAGCATGAATCAATCCTATTGGAGCATAAATAACTTTGTCGTTCTTTGTAAAGGCAAATTTCAAATATGAGCTTGGTATTTCAATTCCCGAAGCTGGTTGTCTGACACTCGACAACATTCCTCCTTTCCTTAGGGTCTGTCAGGTCCATAAGGACAACACAGCCACCTGACTGACTAACTAACTAACTAACTAACTAACTAACTAACTAACTAACTAACTAACTAACTAACTAACTAACTAACTAACTAACTAACTAACTGTCTGTCTGTCTGTCTGTCTGTCTGTCTGTCTGTCTGTCTGTCTGTCTGTCTGTCTGTCTGTCTGTCTGTCTGTCTGTCTATCTATCTATCTATCTATCTATCTATCTATCTATCTATCTATCATTATAGGTGTACCCCCAGAGGAATTAAGGTTGTTTGCAATGTCTTAACACACAGTAGCAAAACCTAGGAAACACTCTGACCGACAATAACACTTCAAAATATTGCAAGGAATGTTGATTACACACTTAAACTTCATGCACAAAACCTTTCAAGGGAAAAGGATCAGTATGGAGGTGCTTCCTCTTTTTGTACAGCTCCTCTTTTGCTTTGTCTCACTGTGATTCTCGGGCACAGTAATACACGCCAGTGTCGGCAGCTGTCAGGGACCTCAGCTCAAGATAATACTCGTTCTTGGAGGAATCGGCAGAGAGGGTGGCTCGGCTTTGGAGAGATGATGTGTAGAATATACGCCATGTGCTACCACTCCAGTCTATCCGTCCCACCCATTCCAGTCCCTTTCCAGGAGCTTGGCGGACCCAATGCCAGTAGCTGTTCTCCACAGAATCCCCAGTGACTGCACAGGAGAGTCTGAGCGTTTGCCCAGGCTTCAGTGTTCCTGGTCCGGATTCCACAAGCTGAACACTGGCGTGGACACCTAAGGTGGAGGATAAAGCACTGGTTAGTGAAACAGTGACTTCGGCCATGGTTCATCCTTTGCATTGATCTGCAGGATACTCACACATTGGAGCTGAGAATAAGGCAAGCAAAAGGAGAAGAAAGGAGAGCTTCATTGTGGAATTTAAGAGAAATGTCGTTCTGCGGATCAGTGGTAGATTTGAGTCTACAATGAATCTTTAAACAGTTTTTATATGGAAGCCGGATTTGCATTGGGTTTCCATCTCATGAGTGGCTGGCATTAAAAAAGGGGGCTTGCCTGAAGATGCCAACAGTGTTTCTGCCATGAGGAAAGCCAATCTCCACCCACTTCAACACAACAAAGCATCACCTATGACAGGGATCTTGATAGAGGCTGTTCAGGCTTCTGACACATTCTTTCCTCATGTTTAATTCAAAAGACTGTCCAACTGGTATTCTTGCCACATTAATCAGAAGGTATGCTTAAAATAAAGATGGGAATCTCTTGACTTTGGTTGGTTGGTTGGTTGGTTGGTTGGTTGGTTGGTTGCTTGATTGATTGATTGATTGATTGATTGATTGATTGATTGATTGATTGATTGGATTGGATTGGATTGGATTGGATTGGATTGGATTGGATTGGATTGGATTGGATTGGATTGGATTGGATTGGATTGGATTGGATTGGATTGGATTGGATTGGATTGGATTGGATTGGATTGGATTGGATTGGATTGGATTGGATTGGATTGGATTGGATTGGATTGGATTGGATTGGATTGGATTGGATTGGATTGGATTGGATTGGATTGGATTGGATTGGATTGGATTGGATTGGATTGGATTGGATTGGATTGGATTGGATTGGATTGGATTGGATTGGATTGGATTGGATTGGATTGGATTGGATTGGATTGGATTGGATTGGATTTCTATGTTGCCTTTCTCAAGACACTGTGTGTACTCTCCGGACTCCACCAGTAAGAATTCTGAGTAAAAGCCTTGCCAGGAAGATAGTTTTCAGAGATTGGTCATGTGTTTTCCTTCTAGATCTTTCTTCTCCTTTGCATTTGAAAGCAGAAACATCCCCTCCAAAGGATGCTGAAGGGAAAATGAGTTCAAACTAAGGATTCTTTTTCCATTCACATGCTCTCTGAGCATGGATTGGCTTAAGTTTCTCCTTCGATTTACACACAACATAGGCAAAAGGCTAGCAACACGGGCCTTTGATGAAGGATTTCAGTTTTTTCTGCCAGTTCCTCAAGTTATTCTTTACTTTCCACCGATGGGACAATGTTAGGTGAGGAGAACAGCTCAGGATATAAGCATCCTCACTAATGAAACCAGATAACCTGGCATTCTCCTGATTTGACTGAGTCCCAATGACTTTCGGTATCCCACTGCTGTCTAACAATTGAATGAGTACGAATGAGGGAGCCCTGGCAGACGTGCTGCACTTCGGAAGCCACACCCCACAGACCCTATGTCCTCCTAGAACCACCAACCCTGGGCATCCATGTCAGTCCTAATGGTGGGTATGGATCCACTTCGTGGGTCTAATTGAGGGCTCTTAGCGATGGAGGCAGCATCTCCTCTCCAAGGCGGACTGAAGCAAATGACAAGAAAAATGACATGAAAATGCTTTTTCCAGCTGCATTGTTCTGAGGAAAGGCAAGAGCCAATACAACTGGTTCCAGCAATGTCGCAGGAGTTGCCGGAAGAACACGAACTGCCTCCAGGACTCTGGCTCCAGTATTTGTTTCTGCACTTTTTGAAGCAGGAGGAAGTTTGTCGCATGTTGCACCAGAAGCCATAAGGAAACAATAGTTTCAATTTAATAAATGCTTAAACCAATATCTTATTCTTAATCTGAGCTAGAGAGTAGATCCATTGGACCAAATGTAACTCTCACACATTTGAAAATCCACTCTAGCTGAGACTAGAAATTGGATCGTAGAATAATGCAGCTGGAAGTGGCCTATAAGGCCCTCAAGTCCAACCCTCTGCTCAGTGCACAAATCCAGATCTGACAGATGATTGTCCAATTTTCTCTTGAATGCCTGTAGAGTTGGAGTGTTCATCATCTCCCAAGGGCATTGGTACTATTGTCATACTGCTCTAATAGTTAAAAGGTTTTTCCCGATATCCAGCCTAAATCTGGCTTCCGGTAGCATGAGCCCATTATTACATGTCCTGCCCTTCCTCTCTAGGACTACCTTTCAAGTATTTGAAAAGTTTTATCATATTTCCTCTCAGTCTTCTTTTCTCAAAGCTAAACATTACAGGATACTGTCATCCTCTACAAAACCCAGTTCAGAGTCATTATTACATGTCCTGCCCTTCCTCTCTAGGACTACCTTTCAAGTATTTGAAAAGTTTTATCATATTTCCTCTCAGTCTTCTTTTCTCAAAGCTAAACATTACAGGATACTGTCATCCTCGGGTTCTCAACATGTGCTTCTTTTTCACACAGCCCTGTTTTCCCTCTTATAGACTTCCAAAATCTTTAATTATTCCATTGTTAGCTTTGCGCTTTTTTTATTCTTTGCCATAATGAGCCATTGAGAAATGGGTGGATAAGCACGTTTATCTAACTGATCACTCAAGAAGTTGATAGTAGAGGTAGAGTTAAAACTTCCTTGGTTCTTAAGAGAAATATATGAGACAGTTTCTTTGGGAATTAGACTCTGAGGGGACCGGCAACTGTGATTGCCTCATGCCAATTCTACACAATGCTAACTGAAGTAAAAACTTGCAGAGAGCCAGCAGGCTCTGAGAGGAAGCCACAAAATAACACATTTGATTTATTTCAAATAGCATTGTGGAATCTTAAAGTATTGCTGCCCCCCCTGTGAGCAGTAGGAGGAAAACACTTTGAAGAGTGAAATTGTTGAATGAGATCATTGTTAGTATTCTTCTTGGGAAGAGTTTTAGTGTTGTTGGGGAGGCCATGATGAAATAAATATTGATCTAGTACAGTACATTGATTCCTACCCTTGGGTCCTCAGATGTTCTTGGACTAAAACTCTCAGAAGTCTTCACCACTAGCTGCACCAGCCAGGAAAGGGATCAAAGCAATTCCACAACTGCACAATCATTTTGATCCTTTTCCCCCTTATACAGCCAAGGGATTGCTTTGATCCTTCCCACCTCCTTTTGCTAAGCTCCATGGGACTTAGCAAGCAGAGGGGAAAGCAGGAATCAAAGCGATCCTGCAGCACTTTGATCCCTGCTTTCCTTTTGCTAAGGCTTAGCAAGTGGAGG